CCCCCGGTTCCGCCGGCCATGATTATCACCAATAATAAGGTAAATCATAACGCGATCGTATGAAGAACGCAACTCGACGACGCATGCGCAATTGTTCGTTTTTTTAATGACGATCCATCAGACGACCACCGGCATCGCGTCGTCTAGCGCTCCGATCCCAGGGAGCGGAGTTGAGTTCGTGCGACGGTCATACGACGCAGTGAGTGCCAGGCTTTAACTGTAATACATTTACTGTATTCTTTTTTTGTATAGACCTTAACTTGGCTCTGATAACTAGGCTAATTTTGTAGAAAAACATCTGTAAATCAGCAAAAAAACCCTATTTTTCTATCTGTTTCTGGTTGGAAGTTAACGTACTTTTTTTTTTTTTTTTAATTCATTCGTTCGTTCGTTCATTCATTCATTCATTTATTATTTATTTATTTATTACAAATTCGACATTATACATGCCCAAGAGGAAACCATGGGCCGAGGCCTCAAAACAAAAGTGGGTACCGTACCTCTTTGAAACAAGATTGTATTTGAATTTTTGAAGGTGAATTCCGATATTTATTTTTTTTTATTTTTTTAATTTTTTTTTTGCAGACTGTATCTTTTTACTCTATAATAATAACTCACTACACTGATACAATTCTCAGAAAAGGGCCGTTTCTGGTATTTCCGGGTTTGTTAAAGATTGCATTTGTAATACCGTAGGGCCTAATTGGTCTCTATATTTTCGAAGAACACTCATTCACTTAATATTTTCGTCAGTTTGTTGAAAATTTATAGGGTCGGTCGTGTCCACGTTTCTTCGCATATCGCGAAGAAGTTTTTCTTGCAATTTCAAATTCTATTCTATTTTTAATTGTATTACAGCACAATAGGAGAACTAAATTTTTCAATTTTTGCACCATAAGATTGATATATTTTGCGAAAGAAGAATTGGGGCACTTAATTTCACAATTTCTTGGTTATTGATCTTTTATTTCTTGCTTGTGTAATTAAAATCATTCAAAAAACAATTGGTGGCGACAATATTTGCCCAACGTCAGGGGAGGAGCGATGTCCCGGAACCTCTGAAGGGGGTCCAGGAGGCTATGCGCCTTGAGCACTTTAGTGGAGATGTGCGCTTAATAAATCTTATTATTATTATTATTATTATTATGCTTCCCGAAGCTCTAACGATTTAGTAATTATCAGGGAACAGTGAAATAATTTCACTGTTCCCTGGTAATTATGAATGCCTAAAGGCCTGTCTCCATCTTACAGCCTCATATTTTGTGAAGGTTAGGCCCACATAAAATTTTCCCCTAAGGAAAGGGTGTTGAGTTCTTCTTTGAGAAAGCTCTCTCTGAGAGAATCTCTGCAGCTGGCACACAAAGTTTTTTTGAATTCTCGCAAAAATAGCGCTTGTTGGGAACTGCAGTTTTAAGCACTCAGCACGAAAGTGGTAAAGTGCAGCATTCTAAGCAGTTATTGAATAGTTGCATAGGCCTAATAAGCAGGCTTAGGCCTATACAGATTTGAAATATAATAAAAGCATATTTTCATGCCAAATATTTTCAGGGTCGCTGGACGTTTAATGTTGTCGGTTACAGTAATAGAACATGTCTTGTCTTTTTTTGTGCAAGTGTGAGCGAAGTGCGTTTCCTGAATTGATTTTTCCCCTATCAGAGTAAAACTAGATATATTATATATATTTTTTTTTCCCTATCATATTGACCTTGCTTCTTACGTCTAACCAAATATTGTTACCTGCTCGGACCTCTTCCACACAACAACTCGCTGGTAATAGTAATCCTGTAGGAGTATTTTCAAACCAAACATGAAGTTACAGGAATAATCGTGACAAAAACACAGTATTTTTGTTTTTTGATACAAAGTTTGTTTAACTTAATAGTTTGGCAGACAATCGGTATTTTCTGTGTAATTTCCCCAATCTTATATATCCACCAATACCAGCGCCTGTGAAGTCTGGAGTCTACTCATAATAAAACAAGTCTCTGATAATTTTTTTTTTAAATTTTTGTCATATTTAGCTGAACAAAATTATCAATCTTTTGGCGTTTATAGATTGGTTCGTAACGGAATTGTACAATTAAAAATAAAAATATTCGCCCATTTTCAAAGTTGAATATTCAAGTTGGTAGAGAAACCCTTGATGTGGTAAAAAAAAAAAAAAAAAAGTGGAAAAAAAAAAAAAAAAAAAAAAAAAAAAAAGTACAGAAATGCTAAATAAATCTCTTTTAAATATTCAGCCTGCATGGACTACAATCTCAGTTGGGCAACTACGTCTAATAAAAATAAAAGTGCTGCTGGAATAGTTAAAAACGATTTTAATTTTATAAATATTCGTGGAATTGATCTTATTAAACAAAATAATTGGGAGCTAACGTAGAGATTACGCCCTTGCATGTTTAATAAATATCCCAAACGGTATTGCACCTTAATGATATGGAAATGGTTGTTGACCGAGACATGGATATCTCGACTCACATAACCCCCAATTCTAAACTGCAGTCTGTAATGAAAGTTTTTTTTTTTTTTAATCGCTGGAGCGAAAGCTTGGAACAAAATCCCAATCAGAATTCAATAACGTCAGTCTCTTAATATATTCAAAATCACTTATAAGAAACACTTCCTCTGATTATAATTGTTGTGTCTTCTTAATAATGTGACCATTATAAGTATAATAATAATAATAATAATAATAATAATAATAACAATAATAATAATAATAATAATAATAATAATAATAATAATAATAATAACAATAATAATAATAATAATAATAACAATAATAATAATAATAATAATAATAATAATAATAACTTATAGGAGCCCAATGCGCTTTACAAAAGTTAAAATGGGCCAATCGAATCAAAATACAGTGCCATATAAGGAATAATTACACAAAGCTTAAGATAAAAACTACCAAATTTAAATTAGAATGCATAACATTAAAATTTTAAAACAGCCAATAAACAGCAGAGCAACAGCAATTACACATTAAAATCGAAGCACATCAAGAATTTTAATAGTTAACACATTAAAAAACGATTAAAAAAATTAATAAAACAGAATATTATGCCCCGATGCGCTCCACCATTTTGCTGAGCAAAATATAAGTCGTTTCTGCTTTTCACCTAAAAACATATTACATATTTGTCACTTAATAATAGAGCGCCCTCTCCCCCTCATCGTCGGACCAAAATATTAATTTTTCTATCAAAATAAAGTTTATTGCCTAAAAATAAGCACAATTTTCCGCCATCTGACATAAGAGACTCCCATTTACAACAACCATATCACCAGGGATTTTATTCCCGGACATACAGGGACTGAGCCGTTCCCCTTTGTCGGACGCCCACGGTTGGAGACCCCATGTCACTGTAGGCCACCACTGCTCCCCCTCCCGCACGCAGGAGCCAATAAAATGTCAATCCTACAGGCTATGGGTGGGAGCACTTTTTTATTTCGGCTCCTTGCACCAGCGGTCATGTCAGACCTCCCAAGTTCCCAGATTTTTAAGGGGATGGGGTGCACCAGAAAATATAGACTTTGATCATGAATTTTAAAATTGCTACCGGTTCTTAATTTTTTCCCTAACAAACAATTACAAAAGTCATCATAGTCAGCAACACGAAGTATGCATTAACCATGAAAAGGATTTCTTTTGCCTTTTGTTTTTGTCAATTACAAAAAGTGGCCATGGACTATGTAGGCCTACCATGATGCAGAATGTGACCGGCCGTGTACAGATGTTTGTAAAAATTTAAGGAGAACTGTTAAATAATTTTGATGGCTTTTGGTAACGGAGTGGTATGCGCTTAATTAACACTTCATAAATACTGTACAACAAAAGTACCCAAAAGTTTCACTGTAATAACAACCCAGAAATTACTTTTCCACATGCTGTTTAGTGAACTACTACTTTACTAGAAGCTCATCTTAAAATGGAGAAGGGCGAGGGGATTATGGGGGTGTGGAGGCCCCTAGATACGCCTCTGTTGCTGTTATTGTAGATTATCACGACGTAAAAAAGGAAGTTCGTAGGATTCATTCATGCAGTCCCGCGCCAAATCACATGCATCAGAATTACTTTGTTATGACTCATTGCACACTGGGCGTTAGTTGGTTTTAGATGGCGTTTTACAATGTCGATTGACGGATTAATACGAGAACTCCTCCTCCACACACCATGATCTTGCTTAGTGTATACAATCACTAGCTTATTGACTTCCGCATTTGTTTTGTCATTTTTGCTTACAATATTGAAATTAGATGTTTGTTGTTCTGATATAATCTACGTCTAAGGAGCAAATTATCCTCAGTGTATATCGTTACACAATTATTTGCGATGGGTCTTTGTCACTGTTCGTGTGTAAAGAACCCAAGAGATCCATCTTCTCCTAGAAAAGGAGCTAGCCCGAACCACCGGTACGGCGGCGGCTCAAGCAATCCAGCGTCGGTACACTCGCCAAGCCCAGCAAACAGAGGTAGCCTGCCTGGATGGAATACAAACTCAAGTACACCGAACCCAAGTCCGATACATTATCCAAATGCTAATCTTATTCCAGATAATTTGAAAATATATATTGCTTTATTTGACTATGATGCTAGAACAGCAGAGGACTTGAGTTTTAAAAAAGGAGATCATTTGGAAGTTGGAAACGACACCGGTGATTGGTGGCTAGCCCGGTCTCGTTCCTCAGGAAAGGAAGGATATATACCATGTAATTATGTAGCGAAAGTTCAGTCTTTACAGTCAGAACCGTAAGTATTATTCCCCATGTTATTTAAACTTGTCATTGGTCTACCACACCCAGCCTAGGCCTAGCTAGTTTTATTTCCAAAAAGCCAAGTCTTTAAAGGTTGGGATTGATCTAGGCCTAGGGGCCTAGGCTAGGCCTCTTTGCTATAGCATTGGCTTAGGTTGTGCCTGGACATTCTCCTCATTCTTTTTCGAAAGATTAGCCTATTACTAGGCCTCTAGGACGCCTAGCTAGGTTTAGCCTAGGCTAGTATTGCTGCTTTCTAAATTCTAGTCAAAATGGCAATAAGTCAAAACGGCAATTACCAAAACGGCAAAAAACCAAAACAGTAACACTTTTTGACGAGAACGGGAATGGACCAAAACAGCAAACTGGACCAAAACGGCAATAATAAGTCAAAAGGCAAGACCACAAAACAGCAAAAGGCCTAAGTCAAAATGGCGGGAACCAGTCAATTCGAGCGGATGCCCCACTTCGAGCGAATGCCAGTTCAAGCGGATTTGAGCGGAATTTATTCGAGCAGATGCTAGTTCGAGTGGAGAAAAGATTCACTTGTGCGAACAACAACCTGTGCGAGTTATGTATGAATTACTTTGAAATTTCCTATTTTGAGCTAACAATCTGCATTCGGCTCAGGCTTTGCCTGGCAGCCAGGCACAGGCGTATCTAGGGGTGCGTGCGTGTGGGGGGGGGAGAAATTACCCCCCCAAAAGAAAGCAATTAGTAACAATGTGAATATAAAGAATGATATGTAATGTCAGTTAACGTGGAATTGCCTTAAAGCAGTAAATAAAAGAATTGTAAAATTGCAAAACTTAAAAAAAAACATACTGTACAGTACAAGTAATGCAAGGAAAAATACATTTTAAATAATTTAATAAAAAATTAATATTTTAATGAATAGATCAATAAAAATACAATTTTTAAACAACATAAAAAAAAATAGAATATAAAATGATTTTATATACTTTTTAAAACTTACAGTAGACCTTCAACTAATTTTTCTTATTTTTATATCACTGTTTTAAATGACTGCGAATATTGTACTTTTCCAAAACAATATAATTTTGTATATTTTGGATAAACTAGGTTACAGTCTGACATTGATGCTCTGTATGATTTTTAATGTTGAATACAAAGAGCTTTTAAAATGATATTAAATCAAATGTGATACTACTGTACATTCAAGAAGGGGGACTGACACATCAGTTCAAAAGCAGGACACATTAATATTATTTAATGTAGATGAGAACCCATAAAAATTTTACCTCCCAAGGTAAAGGTAAATTACAGTATGTCCAACCTGTCCCGGTCCAGATTGCTCATCCCTCTTTCGTAAGCGTTCAGGCCAGACTGTGCAATGCTTTGAGGGGATCACCACTCCTCACAGCTAGTCTGTTGACCTTCCCTGCATATGCCCGTACCCATTTATACTCCTGGGTAGAGAGAGACAAACACGAATAAAGTGTCTTGCCCAAGGACACAAGCGACTTGCCCAGCAAGAGTTTCAAATCCCTGAGCACAAGTTTGGGAGTCTGAGCCTCAAATGCTTGCGATAAACTACCACAACTAAAACTAGGCCTACAATATAGTCAGTATGGTATGTACAGTAACATGACCTTGTTGATCAACAAATGAGTATTATTTCCTGAGAACTGCACCATTCTAGTATAGAAGCCGAAGGGAAAGCGACATATAATCTCTCATGATACAGTAGGTTGGCACTGGTGGTGAAACTCATACAGCTCAGCAGGTGCAAAAAAAAGACAACTCAAAAACTGTCATTGGCTAGAATTTTTTCACATAAAATATAATGTAGGGCAAACCTCACATTTTGCAGGCAAACCACATGTTTCTATTGCATTCGCAATACAAACTAAATTTTTGGTAGCCTTGATCAGATATATAATAGTTTTAATACTTTTTCTTAAAAGGCATCTTCACTTACCTAAATAAACTTACCTAAACAAATTTCTGCAGCCATTTTAAAAAGCAAAATGGCCGCCTACAATAACAATAACTCATATATTATTATTCTAATACTAAAATAATTGATAGTTCTTCTAATTGGTCCCACTTGTTATTTAAAGAAGTGTTTGCTATTCACTGGCATAAGCCTTCACTTAATTGTGGTCTCAGAGCTTTAGAGAATTAAAAACTGTTTATTTAATTATGACTACACCCTTTACCACTGGACCAATCACATTTGCTGCTTATTATCATCTTACGACTCATTAATTGTATTTGCATATTGTAGCATTTTCGGTAATTACTCTGTAAACATTTTTTATTCCTGATGATGACTTAATAAAGTCGAAACGTTGAGTGAATATGGCCTCACTCAGGCATCGAATTTAACTGCGGCCATTGCCGACGGTGCCCTCCCAGTTGGCCTTGGTGCTCCTGAAAAATAAAGCACGACGACGGCCACTACTTGCCTGCCCTTTTGAAGCCTTGGCCTCGGTGCCCTCACGATGCTTAATATAGATCGTTTGACACGTAAAATAAATCTAAGAACGTTTAAATCTTGAAAGAAAACACGAAAGCCAAAAACGTAGGTCGCCTAAGCTAGCCTAAGCCAGGTTGCAGTGACAGAACAGATCATGACAGAATTTCCATGTGTGTTGTTGATATGAACTGTTTTTGCGGTTACCGTTGTGTGCGCATACGTCTTACTCTAGCGGTTATTGCAATATAAACATGGGCTCATTCGACTGGTTCATTAGACTTCGTTGACAACGAAAATTGACGTAAACCAGAATGCGTTAATTAGCGTTAAGTTACCCACGTGACCAAAGAGAAACATGGCCGATTGGTGATTTTTTATTAACAACATTTGCGTTAATATAACTTAGGCCCAATAAAAAAAATTATTAGTTTATCACCCTCGCGCACATGCCTTTTATGGTACTGAAAAAAAGAAAATTTTTTTGAAAACAATTTTTTCTTTGAAAAAAATAAAATTTTTTTTGACAATTTTTTTTGTTGAAAATTTTATTTATTTATTTTTTCCATTTATTTTATTAAATAGTTAGTAGATATTGTTTGCATTATCTAAATCATGTTTTACTTTGAATATCAATGCACCAGCAAACAAACCAAGGGTGATATTTGGCTTTAGCAAAAAAAAAAATTTAAAAAAAAAAAGCCTCCCTCCCTCATCACTTTTCCTGCCCAGATAGGGTGATAAACTAATAATATTTTTTATAGGGCCTTAGATTAAATTTCCTAAAATAAACATTATAATATTTACCCACATGGAGTCAAAAAATTATTGTAGGCAAACAGAATAAAAAAAAAACTGGATGAAAATATTTTTTTTTTACGAAAAACCCATACTACCAAGTTGAAGCGATCTTGATTACGCAACGTGTATCGCGGTATCTATACAGCCATTTTGTTTTGTCGAGTATTATAATTCGAGGCCTGCAATTATATGATATGTTCCATGGGCGTTTGTTGCACTGATTGGGGTAATAGGAAGCTTTCGATTGCACGACGACCGTAGGATGTAGAA